AGAAATTGTGAACTAATTCAAGATTAAATAATAGAAAATAAGAACTAATTCAAGATTAAATAGGAAATACGAACTAATTTGAGATTAAATAGAAAATATGATTTAATTTGAGATTAAATAAAGAAAATAAGAACTATTTCAAGATTAAATAAAAAGAACTAATGTGAGATTAAATAGAAAATAAAAACTAATTTGAGATTAAATAGAAAATAAGAATTAATTCGAGATTAAAGAGAAATTGTGAACTAATTCACGATTAAATAACAGAAAATAAGAACTAATTCAAGATTAAATAGAAAATAAGAACTTTCAAGATGAAATAGAGAGAAAATATGAACTAATTCAAGATGAAATAATAGAAAATAAGAACTTGAGATTAAATAAGAAAGGGAAAATAAGGAATAATTCAAGATTAAATAAGAGAAAAACGAATTCAAGATTAAATAATAGAGAGAAAATAAGAATTCAAGATTAAATAGAGAGAAAATCGAGATTAAAGAGAAAACGGAATTAAGATTAAATAGAAAAAGTAAGAATTTGAGATTAAATAATAGAAAATATGAACTAATTTGAGATGAAATAGAAAACATGAACTAATTTGTGATTGAAGAAAATAAGAACTAATTCAAGATTAAATAATAGAGAGAAAATAAGAACGAATCTGAGATGAAACAGAGAGAAAACAAGAACTAATTCCAGACACGACGATCAGACTTCACCCAAATAATTCCTGAAGTGGAGGATCGCGACGGTTCCCAGACCTTGAACCCACTTATGGGGCCAGGAGCACCCCATATATCAATACTAATTAACATTAATTAACTCACCCAGCGACACCAGGGTCTCGTAGTTACCCCTCATCACGGCCCGGTACAGCTCCTTCTGCCAGCGCTCCAGGTGCGCCCACTCCTGCTCGTTGAAGTACACTGCCACGTCCTCGAAGGTCAGCGGCACCTACAACCGCAGCACAGTTGGCGGCGCCCGACGCGCTCGGGTGACCCCAAAACCAACCGCGTGCGTGTGAACGCTCGGGTTTGGGTGTGAATCCGGGGTTCACCAGCACTCAAACTGCCCAAATTGGGGGTTTTGTCACCCCTCCAACAGCCGCACGGTGTCACCGTTACCTGGAGAACTTCACTGGGGGCGCTGGGGGCTCCCCTATGGGTGCTGGGGGTCGAGAAGGTTCCTTTAGGGTGCTGGGGCTGAACAATTGGGGCTGGGGGCTCCCCCATGGGTGCTGGTCCTGGGGCTCCAGGGTGTCCCTTTACGGTGCTGGGGCTGAGGGATCCCCCATAGGTGCTGGGAGTCAGGAGGGTCCCTTTAGGGTGCTGGGGCTGGAGAATTGGGGCTGAGGGCTCCTCTATGGGTGCTGGTCCTGGGGGTCCAGGGTGTCCCTTTAGGGTGCTGGGGGCTCCCCCATAGGTGCCGGGATGGCTCAGGGCACAGTCGGGTGACCCCAAACCAACCGCGTGCGTGTGAACGCTCGGAGCTGGGTGCAAATCCGGTGCCCAAATGGGGTGTCCTGTGTCCCCCCACGGTCCCCGTTACC